AAAAAAACTGTTTTTTTAAGAGCCACCCTAACTCAATTCAAGAAAATAGCCCTAAATCGGCCAATTTAAGAGATACAAAAAAGTTATTTTCAACAAAGTTGCTTGAAATTAGCTCAGCTATAACTTCGCAGAAGAATGTATACCTTAATTTATTCAAACAAAAGAGTTAGATTTTTGATTTTAATGATAATAGGAACCACCCTAGAATTCATTGTCATAAAAATGAGGGCCTAACTATAAGGAACAACTTTGTAGAAGAGACTTTTAGTCCAATGTTTCAATTTCAGGCTCAAAACATATCATTCCACCTAAATCTGCATTCTGGACCACTCTGCACTGGAACAGAGCCAGAGGATGGGCAGAGCCAACCATACGCGTTGATTTTTCAATTGCCAAGCGCTTCAAGGCAGGTAACAACAACTACCGTGCCATGCAGGCGAATGTAACGGAGCTGCTCAGAATTAAATTTGCCAATTTTCAACACCGTTGAGCCCTCCGTCTAACCGTCGAATTCGGAGTAGCGGATGTGTCCAATAGTTCCTTCTTTCGACTACCCGATCAGTGCTCCGTCTTCTCGGCGGAGGCTGCGGCCATCCGCTTCACCACAACCACATCCGCCAATAAACCCATATGCGTCCTAAAAGACCCCACCCGTGTTTTATACGCCCTGAACTCAGCAACATCCAGACACCCCTGGATCCAAGGGATTCAAAGGGTCGCACCGCCGAACACCTCCAAATGGAATGACACTACGAGCCGATGGGAACAACAGGTCCTTTCCCGACTTCGATCCGGACACACCCGAGTGACCCACAACATGAGTAGCGCTACCTCTTTTCGGAGGATTTGCGACTCCTGCACCACAATTATGACAGTCGAACACCTGATGACTGTTCACTGTCCCCGCTTCCATAGCATCCGGGTCCTCTACAGAATACCGGACAGCATACGTAACGCCCTCTCTAACGACCCGTCCACGGAAGCAGCGCTAATAGTTTTCCTAGAAGATGCTGGACTCTTGTATAAAATATAATCATAAACCCACCCCCCTTTACAAAATGACTACGCCTCGAACATGGACACCACTGGAATAAAGGGTGATACGGTCAAAATTTGGTCAAGGGAAAACGCGTGTAAATCGGTGAAATCTTTTATTTAAAAAATCAAATTAAATTTCTTTTTCAAGTTCAATTAGTATAAAATTCAGGAAAAATATTCAGTTAGGCTTCCGCTTTTCCAAATCCGAATTGCCGGGCCTTACGCTTGACCCCTGCCATCAGGTTTTGTACAGCCACCTTGTCCACCTTCTTCGCCGCAGAAAGCCAGTTTGCCTTGAACTGCTGCTCGCCCTTAGCAGTTTTTTTGGTCTTCTTTAGGTTCCGCTTGACAATAGCCCAGTATTTCTCAATTGGGCGGAGCTCTGGCGTGTTGGGAGGGTTCTTGTCCTTGGGAACCACCTGCACGTTGTTGGCGGCGTACCACTCCATGGACTTTTTACCGTAATGGCAAGATGCCAAATCCGGCCAAAACAGTACGGAACAACCGTGTTTCTTCAGGAAAGGCAGCAGACGTTTATTCAAACACTCTTTCACGAAAATTTCTTGGATGACAGTCCCGGAAGCTATGAAAATGCTGCTTTTCAAGCCACAGGTACAGATGGCTTGTCAAACCAGATATTTCTTTGCGAACTTTGACAGTTTCATGTGCTTGAAAACATCTGCTACCTTTCCGCTTCCTTTTGCCGTATAAAACTCCTGTCCCGGAAGCTGCTTGTAGTCGGCTTTGACGTAGGTTTCGTCGTCCATTACCACGCAGTCAAACTTCGTCAGCATCGTCGTGTACAGCCTCCGGGATCGCACTTTGGCCGTCGTATTTTGTTTATCATCGCGATTTGGAGTCACTACCTTCTTGTAAGTCGATAGTCCGGCTCGTTTTTTGGCTCGATGCACGGTTGTAGACGATACACCCAGCTTATTTGCGGCATCTCGGAGAGAGAGGTTAGGGTTTCGCTTGAAACTACCGGCAACTCTCTTTGTCGTATCAGCGGCTTCCTGTTTTCGATTTCCCCCCGATCCAGACGTCCTGGCTGTCGACAAACGTTCCCCAAACACTTTAATTACATTTGTAACGGTTGATTTGGCAACTTTTATCGATTTTTCCAACTTTGCGTGCGAGTAGCTCGGATTTTCGCGATGCGCGAGCAAAATTTTGATACGCTGCTCTTCTTGCTTGGACGGCATTTTGACAACTGAAGAGTGAATTCCAAAATCAAAATAGGAGCAACATTCTGCACACACACACCTTCAAAATGAGGGGTGTTCAGGTTTTTTAAATGCAAAATTGAAAGAAATACGTCAAGTTGATATTGACCAAATTTTGACCGTATCACCCTTTATGTTAAGTTAGGGCAAACAATGAAAAGTGAATGTCACACAAGCGCCGCCTGGTGAGTGAATTCTGAACTAAACTCTTTCCATTAAGATAGGTCTTGTCCATCTGAACAACTTTACTAAAGATGGGAACCATCCATATGAGCAGGATCTGTAGATAGCGTTATATAAGAGGGCGCTAGTTGATCATTTTCGTTGTAGCGCCATCTACTTTGTAAATTTCACAAGGAAAGACCATCCTATTTGGTTGGAATCTCATGATATAAACAACTCAAACATCAACATATGCCAGTTCATGGGAATATTTTTACAATGAACCCTCGCAATTAGGGAGCCACCCTCTAAAATAAACTTCGATTGATTAAACTTACTTTTTAAAACATTTGAAATTTAAAAAAATCCGTTGAATCTTTACTGAGAAATGACAATTTGAATTTGGGTTCAAATTGACCCCAAGGGTACAGACAACGTAAGTTTTTTTTGGTACAGACGAAGGGTTGAGATCACAAGACCAGGCATGGAAAATCATTTGCATTCATTTCGTGCATTCATTTACATTCATTTGCCCCTAACTTTTTTCATCAACAGAATTCCGCAAAATGATGAATGGAGCTTTTGTAGGTTTTGATATTAACTACAACTTTTGTCAACAACTCAAATCCGTATCTCTTATGTATGACGGACCAGAGCGAACAGAAGCCACTACTGTTTTTCAGTGAATGTATTTTACATTCACTGAAAAAACAGTAACAAGTTCTGCCCGCTCTAATTCGTGATGCATAAGAGATACAAATTTGAGTTATGGGCAAAAGTTTTAGCTAATAACAAAACCTACTAAAGCTCTATACATCATTTTGCGAATTGCTGTTGATGAAAAAAGTTAGAGCCAAATGAATGTAAATGATTGCATGAAATGAATGTAAATGATTTTCCATGCCTGGCCACTACTGTTTTTCAGTGAATGTATTTTACATTCACTGAAAAACAGTAACAAGTTCTGCCCGCTCTAATTCGTGATGCATAAGATATACAGATTTGAGTTATGGGCAAAAGTTGTAGCTAATAACAAAACCTACTAAAGCTCTATACATCATTTTGCACATTGCTGTTGTTGAAAAAAGTTAGAGGCAAATGAATGTAAATGATTGCATGAAATGAATGCAAATGATCTTCCATGCCTGCACAAGACTTAATTTTTTTAAATTTGTATTAGCACAATTCGTTTAATATGAGTACTGAGTTCTTTTCTCGATTGTTTTCAATTCCCATTTAATTTCCGGTTCTCCCGGTTTTCCCGGTTCAGTGTCACATTAGAAATAAGATCACGCAGTTTTGTGCTTCTTGCAGCAGGTATGCACATCAACTAAAATTTCCGTTTCTTGGGCATCTTATAAAACTTAAAAACGACAAATTTTACACCAATGAGGAGTACAGTACAACATACAAATGATTTGAAATCAAAGCTAAATACAGTACGCAAATGCTAGGAATCTATATGGAGCTAGAAGGATGCAATAGTGATGAGATTCGAGATGATTGTAATCCTATCTGTTTTCTGTGTATCAGCCAACAATGCTGCTGCTACGCATCTGGATCGATTTCTTCGTTCCACTAGCTGGGTTGGAGAGACTATGATGGCAAAAGGCTCTACTGGATCACTAAATAGCATCGTAGATAGCGAGCGCTATTTGTGGGTGCTCTGCATAGAGACTTGTTTGCTACCCTACAGCGGATGCGGGAGACGACATGTATGATTTCCTTGTATCAAGGACAAAAAAAAAGAAGCTTTTAAGAAATAATAACCGGTAACTAACTATAGGAAAACAGAATAACGATATAGAGACTATTTTAATTCGATGAAAAAAGAAGGAAACGGGTAGAGAAAGAGAGCGCTTTTACTAACCTTGTAGAACAGATTGACAAAAAAGATTTCTATATGATTGACGACCCGCTCGAGCATGGTCTTAGGCTGCATATATTTGATTGTATTTTATTGGGAAAAATTTAGCAATTACATCGACCCAGCGCATACGCAACGACCAATTACAATTACAATTGCACACAAACACACATTTCCAAGAATTATATCCAGACAGAGGGGAAGAAAAGAAAAGATATCACATTGAAAGGTTCGTTTGTTCGGTTATGTTTACAAGTTGGTGCTCGATAATTGGAAGTTTGCGGAACAAGAGTTTCCTCTAAACTACTCTAGATCTATTGATTTTTTTTTGGAGGAACATGCACCTTTAGTCGATTTGTACAGCTTCCAAGCTGTGAAGAAGTCTATCTAAAATTAGATTGCACAAACTATTAATTATGACGAGGTGCATTAATGATGGATTTGTGTGAAGCGAGATATTCTAGATCTTCAAAGTAGAAGTCAAAATGCGACTAGGAATGGGATTCAGTTTGATCCTACTATTTGACCAATTTGAACAGCATTTGTACACACATACATAGACCTATCACGACAGATTTAAGCAACTACAATCATCTCGAATCCCATCCCCATTGGAAGATGACTATCGACCAGCTATTTGCTATATGTACAGGATGCTTGAATTGAAAAATTTAATGATTAAAAAAAACAAAACTACCAGTACTACTTACCCCGTTCGTCGGATTAACCAGCGCGTAAGGAATACCGGTCGGCGTCTGGAACGCCGGCAGGAGCTTGTCCGCCACATACTTGGCCTTCTCCAGGAACAGCCGGTCGCCGGTAAAGGCGTAGCACGTCAGAAATCCACCGATGAACCGAATGTTGGTCTCGAACACCGACAGATCACTGCCCACGTTCTCCAACGTGAACTTCCGTTCGACCCAATCGCGTCCCTCGTCGTACTCCTTGTGCAGACCCATCAGGTAGAGGGTATCCAGCCCATCGACGATGGTGGCACCGAGATCGAACACCCCAAATATGCTGCCCGAATGGCCCCGCTTCGAGAGCGGTTTCAGCTCGTTTTTGCCCCACGCGTACAGTTTGTAGTTGTCCCAGGCGTGGATCATCATCTGGAATGAGAATGCGGGGGGAAAAGTGGGGATTAGAGTATGTTCAATTATTCAATACAATGATTATTTAGTAGATAATACAATTAATCTTAATTACAATCGTTGAACTTCAGATGGGATTCACTGAATTTCATACGCAACTCACTGAAATTTAGAAGATCATTCTAGTTCTCTTCGACGAGAGTCGTTGAATCTCCAACACGGCCAATGGGATCGACCGAATCGACCGACGAGAATTTACTCATAAATCGTAAAAAGTGCAGGAACTCAGCGATGAGGATTTGATTCTTTCAGTCTATTGGTACTACCCCTTGACTGAGTAAAATTTTCGTTAATTTTCCTCATTTTCCGGCACAGGAAAACATGAGGCAAATTTACTCATAGCTGAGTCCGCACTTTTTGCGATTTATGAGTAAATCTCTAACCCGTAGATTTGTCGAATTTTAGATAAGATTATCTAAATCTAGTAGGGTAAATGACGCCTTCGGTAATACCTTGCCCTATTCCTGTCAGGCGGGGTAAAAGAATTACTTGAGCGCTCATTTTCAGAGCATCGATTGGCGAAAATTGAGAGCTGAAGGTCTTTGTTTACCCCCATGACGATAATAGCGACGATATTAACGATATTTATTTACCCTCTCACCGATTGACGCTACCAGTTAATTCCGGTTTAACAGTGATGTTTACCTAATGCCGAGCAAGTGCGCGCAGATTATTCGGACCAAAAAGTCGCTCTACCATGGCGAAACGATGGTAGTAAACTTGACGACCGATCCGGTCCTATTTACGAGCCAATTCATCTAATTGGCTTGCGTTTCGCTACGATGCCTTCTTTTTCTTCTTCGTCGTGGTCAGTAGTAGTAGCAGCAGCATTGTATGCCAAATCGTTTGAACGCCAGCTAGTTGGTTAACCTTTCAAAACGTGAGCCAAGTGCAATCTAAACATCCCATTCATCACAGCCATTCTAGCCATTGATCACGCTAACGTTTGAGCGCTTGATCAATTGCAGTATTGTTTTGGTAAAAATGTTCTTTTTTTCCTTGATTTGTTTTCCGTGCTGAGCACCAATGCTACCGACGCCAGGGAGGCAGCTGCCACATCTGGACTCTACCTATCGACTCATCAACTCATGAACCGGGGACCAACGACCAAGGCCTTCCATGATCAGAGATGTTATTCCTCAGAACATCCCGGCGGCGCCGACTGGGATTGAACCCAGGCCTGCTGGGGTGAGAGGTAATCACGCTTACCACTACACCACCGGCACCGCTAAATGTTTTCCTTGAGAAGTTCGATCACTAATTCATATATAAGGCATGACTATTTACTGAACTGGTTCTCAAAAGTGATATTGGGCCATTCCATGGATTTGTTAAGTTCTGTTGCACTTATAGCGGTAAGCTCCATCGAGGGTAATACGTTAATCTCGAATAATCCTCGATTTTGCTAAGCACCATGCCGTATTATCCTCAATTTTAATCTCGGTTATAACTTTAATATGCCGATTTCTGCGTATTAGAGAAAATCTCGGATTTTCAAAAAGAACGCAGCCAAAACAAAATCTGATGTCATCGCCCTCACACACACACACATATGCATGAACATCAAATGTCATTTTTCTGTTTATGTTTGCGGAATCCGATTCGCTGCAGCTGTGCCGACCGCAGCTACCAGAAAGTTTGTTACGGCTTGGTCCCAATCGGAACGTCCTTCTGCGGGTACATTATTTTTCATCATCTTCCTGGACAAACCGATCGGCTGCACCATATAAATTCGCAAAAGTTATACGCATCTTATTCGGGAGGAAGCAGCAAGTGATTGAAAGTGTCGGCAATAATATAAAATCCCCCAACGGACTTTTCCGCAACATCTCCTATTTCATGTTCCATGTTTGCCAAGAAACCTATTCGGGACGGATTATGCTGTGCTTCTGGATGAACTTCTCGTCGGCCGTACTGTGAATTTCTAGTAGGAAGTTCTCGGAATTTATTGTCAGTAGTTCTCAGAATTCCTCGTCGGAAGTTCTCTGTACTTCTCGTCGGAGATTCTGTGAATACTCTTCGGATGTTCTTTGAACTTCTCGTCGGAAATTATGTGAAATTCTCATCAGAAGTTCTCTGAATCGTTCATCGGATGTTCTCGGAACTTCTTTGTGGATGTTCGCTGAATTTCTTTCTGGAAGCCTAGAACTTCTCCTCGGAAGATCTTTGAACTTCTCGCCGGAGGTACTCTGATTTACTACTAAAATATTTCTCTGAACCTCTCCTTTTTTCTCGGAAGTTCTCTGAACTTCTCGTCGGTCATACTATGCGCATCATAACCTCTCGTCGGAAGGTCTACAAATTTATCGTCGGACGCTCTCTGTTGGAACTTCAGAGAACTTAAATGAAGTTCTGTGAGCTTCTTGGAACTTCTCTTCAGAAAATCTGTGAACTTCTCGTTGGAAGTTCCCTGAGCTTCTCATCAGAAGTTCTCTGAACCTCTCGTCAGAAATTCCCTTAACTTTTTGATGCCATGCTAACGATGTCGTTGTGAAGCAGATTTTGCGGCTCTGGAACCATTTGTTCAACAAACAAAAATTAGGGGCGCAGTATCACTGGTGGATATATCGGACAGACATATACCAGTCTAAGTTACCAAATAGGGAGCTGGTGTTCTACCATACTTGAGGGTAGATGAGGGCCGCAGGGGGCGTTGAATCAACTAAACGTCGGAAGCGTAAGATGCCGAGCTAACAATGTCGCTGGGAAGCTAATATCTAGATAGAGCTGGAATTAGGGCGTAACAGCTTTTGTAAATAATGACTTCTCTCGATGATTTCTAGAAAGCCAAGGCTCGCCCACTCAAATCAACGACACCATCGGGTAGAGGAAGACTTCCCCTTCCCGTTGGTTATGTTGGTTTGCGTGAGCGTGCCTTGAGTTTCGAGAAATCATCGAGAGAAGTCATTGTTTACAAAAGCTGTTACGCCCTAATTCCAGCTCTATTAAGATATTGCGGATCTAGAACAATTTTTTGGACAAACAATTAGGGGCGCGATATCCCTGGGGGCTTCGGCCAGACATATGCCAGTCTAAGTTACCTGACAGAGAGTTGGTGTTCTACCAGACCGAAGGGCAGATGAGGGCCACTAGGGGCGTCGAAACCGCTAAACGTCGGAAGCGTAAGATGCCAAGCTAGCTAAGTCGCTGGGTAGCAGATATTGCGGATCTGCTACACAGACTACACAGGTAGATGAGGGCTGCTAGAGGCGTCGAATCAGCAAAACGTCGGAATCGTAAGATACCAACTCGAAGGGCGGGTGAGGACCGCAGGGGGCGTCGAATCAACTAAACGGCAGTAGCGCAGGATGCCGATGGGAAGCAGGTATTGTAGATCTGACCGAGAGCTGGTGCTCTAGCAGACCACTGGGGGCGTCGAAACCGCTAAGCGTCGGAAGCGTAAGATGCTAGGAAGCAAATATTGCGGATCTGGAACCATTTGTTGGACAAACAATCAGGGGGGCAGTATCACTGGCGGCTTCGGCCAGGCATGTACCAGTTTAAGTAACCTGCACACTCAATCTAGCTCGGTAAAATCTCCAACAGCCGATTACCTCGGCATTGACTTTTGCTGATATCTCTGCAAAATATCATCTAACAATGATATCTTAGCAAAATGTTATTTGTTAGCTGAATCTCGGCAATTGTTTTAATGAATCTCAGCAAAATAAATTACAGAACTACTCGGCTGTTGGATTCTCGGCGAAAAAATTTAAGTGTTTGACAGAGAGCTGGTGTTCTACAAGACCGTAATCTAGTTGAGGGGCACTGAGGGCGTCGAATCAGTTTACCGAGAGCTGGGATGCTACCAGTCCTAACCAGACTTGCATTGGCGTCAACATAAGTAGCGCAAGGTATTAAGCTTGAAGATGTCGTTGGAGGTTTGTCCTGAACCAGATCGATGGATTCCTGTCGTTTGATTAATGTTGGCAGCTCGTTGTACGGTTGACTACCTTGGTAACCAAAGCGTTTTTAGCCGAATTCTGTATTTGGTCGGCACAATCGTATATTGCCGTAGTATCTAGTTGATCTTTCGGAGAGGTTCATTGTGATTCGTATGTTGTGATGGGTGATTGGATTTGTTACAATAATATGCATATTATGTCTGCAACAGTTGAAGTCCTCAAATTGGTATAAGCGAATTCGGCAGGTCATTGTACAGCTGTTTCGTTGGGTATGGATGCGGGTTTTTTTAGGATGAGTTTCAAAGGACACAATACAAAAATGTAAGGGAAATTGGTCACTTTCGAAGCACGATTCAGCATGTCAAAAGTTATAGCGGCACCGAAATACTCAAATATCTAGTTCAAATAATCCTTGAACTTGAATTTTGCAAATATTTGCGGCAATCCAATCGGTAGAAGTTATATAATAATTTATACGCCTAAATGTATGTATCTCCTAGGTGATCATCGCTAATCAACCAAGGTAAATACATTTAGAAGTCATCTATGATATAAACCTTGGTGATGAGCTAATTTACTGTGGTGCATTTTTGAATATTTCAAACCCAGTTTTATTTTGACGTAATATCTCTGAATGCGAAATTAGAAAGTTTGATGTGTCAAGAATTAAAGTATCTATAACCTCTGTTTGTAGACTACTATTAATGATTTCACAATTTCAAAAAAAGTGTGTTTTAGCTGAAATGAGTCAAAGCAACCTTGGTCTTTCAAAACCAACAAGCCCTTTTTGAACAAGAACTTAAACATTATTCCTAATTTTATTTTTAAATAAATGCAACGATTTCAAATAAAGGTGATTTTTATTATTTTGATTTATACATAAAATCCACATTTTCAATACCGAATAACTGGAATTAGAAAACCACACACGCTATTTCCAAACCAACCCAAATTTGGGTACAATCCACCCAAATCGATCAAAACTGAACCTATCCAAAAATGGGTAAACTGTGTTGTGAGTGACAAGTTGATAAATGAACAACGTCGATCGGA